TAAAATATTCCTTCAAGAGATAGATAAGAAGGGAGATAGATAAGAAAGAACCAGGTTCTTAAAGAAACAAAGGAAAAATGTCACCTGAATCAGACAAAAGAAGTTGGGCCTGAACATATGGGAACTCCTCCTCAAGACTCATTAACCACTACCACACTTGAAAATCAAGAAGAGTAGCTGCCAGTCTTGAGAATCAACAAAGCAAGGACTTTGGGGGGATAAAATGGGTCCTGAAGCCCACCCATTCTTTGAGTCATCTTTGGATCCAGAGTTAGCACCTTCTGTCCCTCTGGCTGGTGTCTGCCAGCCTAGTTAAGAAGGGTGTGGGTAAATGTAGATGAGAATGTGAGAAATAGAAAGTGTATATTGAAACCAGTGAAGTTTTACTGTTACTTTAAATTATCTGGGTCTCCATGTATTCCAAAGAACCATTGTGCCTCAGTGTTGGGTTGAAAGTGATTTGAGAGTGGTGGTTGACTATGGCTGTGTGTGAGTGAGTAACTGTAAGCTGAACCTGGGGGCACGCTTAACATTTCCAACATGAAAATGTGTTTAGAAATGACATTTATGCATTCCAAACCCTGAAGTGCTTGTGGGATCAGCTGAGTTAAGAAAATATGCCCAGGGCTAGGGTGATGATGGCAGGGTTGAGGTGGGAGGGTGGGCTTCTAATTTTGGGGAGGCTACCAGAATTAGGTTTCAAAAGGGGAAGAAGCCAAGAGAAGGAACTCGCTGGAAGGCAAAAGCTATAAAGTGTCAATTCACTTGCCAGTTGATAAAGTTACAACTCCAATAAAGTGGTTGTAAATCTAATGAGAACACACCATAAAACCAAGCTGTGTCACCTTCATGGATCACCTCTTTCTCATAGTATGGCTCATATGAAACATATTCCCATATCTGGGCTGTTCCCTTTTTATTTTCCCAGAAGAAATAATAACCTTTTCAGCAGAAAAAGAAACCGGGGAGACAATGGGAGTAGTATAGGAATGCAGCAGGCCTGGGCTTCTTCTCTGCCCTTAGAGGCACTGCCAATACATTTCCTTGAGTCTCTCTCCCCATGACCTTCTGATCCTCAGCCCGTGAATGAGGCAGGCTTAGTCATTAGTAGCTGTACTGGTGTTAAAGGGGTTTTTCTTCTTATGCCAATTCCCTCCAAGGGCAGGGACAAGGTGTATACAATCTATTAAGCTGGTTACCCATTGCTGTACATCAGAAGAAAATCAGATAGCTGTGATGTCCAGGAAGGGAGGCAATAGAGACAGGATGAGTGTCAGCAATAGGACAATAATTTTCACACCAGGATGAATAATAGGCACTATAACGTGGTAATGGGAAAAGGCCGTAGTACATTTCAAGGTTTCAGCTGAAATCCAATGAAGGATTTCCACTAGGCTATAAGAAATGACAAGGAGAGTTCCAACAGCAATAAGTCAAAGAAAGAAAGGATGAGATTATTACATGGAATAATACACTGAACATTGTTTCTAAACAACTAATTATACTGAAATGTAAGGGGTCTTCATTAACACACTAATCAATTCCACCTTCCTTTACATTTCATTCAAAGAATAGGATTGAGGCATGTTCCAAAGAGGACTAAAAGGCAAATGGCATGATATTCTTGTCTCAGTGAGGGACACCTTTTGCCATAACTCTTGCATCAATTAGATTCCATGAACATCAACACAAGATAGAAAAAAGGGATGGAGTTGGAAGGGAAGTTGGAGAATCCATCAATTGACCCACATAGTAAGTGAGGTGCCAGGCCCAAGCGACAGAGGAAAAATCTAGTCAAGTCCAGGTCTTTATTTGCTTACACCAGTGGTGGGATTCAGTTTTTTTTACTATCGGTTCTGCGGGCGTGGTTTGGTGGGCATGGCATGGAATGGCTTAGTGGGCATGGCAGGGAAGGATACTGTAAAATCTCCATTCCCTCCCCACTCCAGGGGAAGGTTACTGCAAAATCCCCATTTCCTCCCGATCAGTTGGGATTTGGGAGGCAGAGAATAGATTAGGGTGGGGCCAGTCAGAGGTGGTATTTACCGGTTCTCCGAACTACTCAAAATTTCCGGTTTCTCCAGAACTGGTCAGAACCTGCTGAATACCACCTCTGGCTTATAACTAATGGACAGAATCTTGCCAAACTAAAGCTATAACCTTTTAAGCTACTTCTAAGATATCCTGAGAGATTCTATGGTATAGTTACCTATATAACGCACTAACACAAAACTTAGTATTCAAAAAGGAAGAATTGTTATTTTTCATTTTGGTGATACTACAATACCACAATTCAGTTAGGAGAGTCTTATGATGCCAGGTGATGTTCGTTAGTATGATGGATGGATCTTGATTGTCACACTCATTCCTGGTGGTGGTGCTTCTTGCCAAGTCCGCACTCATTAGCCATTAAAAGTGACATCCATAGCAGGACTGGATACGCAGGTGCATTTTCAGTGCTCTGCTGAAATCAGGTGCCAAAATGTGTCTGCTTACTACATGCTGTTTCTGTAGGAGTCCATGAGACCCATAACAACCACTGTAGCTAAATTTTGAAATCTGCCTTGATTACGTTTAGGACATTTTCCTAAACATAGTTTGCCCTTGTCAGTACAGGTAGTCCTCCCTTAGTGACTGTCTCAGACAGCAACTGTTTTAAGTTACAACAATGCTGAAAAAGTAATTTGTGAAGAATGCCTGCACTTATGACCTTTGCATCATCTCTCTCATGCTCTCTGCCATTGCAGTCTGTTAGTGTGTGTGTGTGTGTGTGTGTGTGTGTAAAATTATCTTTTCTCCTTTATGGGTAGCTTATGTCTTTGTCAATTTTCTAACAGACGCCTGGGAGTTTGAAGGCTCTGTCCAGCATCTTAGCACTTCATTGATGTTGTTCCAGGGATCTGTTAGAGCCATTCTTCCATCTTAGGAGCCACAGCCCGAGTTCTCCACTTTGGTCTTTATTTTCCGCATCCTCTCTAGTTCCTCCTTCAGACCCTGGTATTTCTGCAGATTCTCATATTCCTTGGCTAGACCAAAATGTTATCTAGATTCGGGAAATCTAGGCGGGAAGAGATAGCTTGGATCTCTGTAGGGAGGGATTATCATGCTCTATAAATCAAACTCTCCAACTAATGGAGTCCTTCAAAATCTTATCTTTCACATTACAATATTTGTTAGGATGCTAGCTTTTACCAATGAATGCATTCTAGCATCCTACAATTATTTGTAATGGAGGTTCCCTAAAAGTCCTCAATGTTGTTAAACTTCTGAGGCAGCTCAGAATGGGAAGTCATCTACAGCAAATTTTCACAACAGGGCTTTCTTCTAAGCTGAATAAACAGCTGGCTTGGTCAAGACCATTGTCCCTCCCCTCATAACAATCCAAGTAGAAATGTGTTTCATAACCAGCTTGGTCTCTGATAAAGATATCCCCTTTATCCTTCAGTGGCCCAGCTGCTTCCTTGTGTAAGGTTCTTGCATTGCCGTATTCAAGTCCTGTGTTGCCGAATCTTTTGTATTTGCAGAAACAAATACGCTGTTATTGTGGAGGATTTGAAATGTAGGTTTTGAAGCCTTTCTTAATTTTTCTTTAAACCTGCTGGAATCAGATGGTGGCTTACAGTTAAAACTATTTTGTGGTCTTTCTTGTGCTTCCTGATTTGATGATTAACGATTAACCCAAGCAAAAACACCAGCTGGAATGCTCCTGTTTGGTATCAAAACACTGGGCGATAAACACACATGAAAAAACATTGGCTGTTTTATGTACAGAATTTAAGGTTATGCTAGGCAGCATTGACATGAATGAAGGACTGAGAGGTTGCCAAGTATGCTGTCTTCAGATAAGGGCTGCAGCATGAGACCAGAGAAATGCATAGCATAAAAGTGTAGGGTTGTTGTTTTTTTACAGCCATCATACACTGTGTCCCTGCACTTTTGGGGGATACTGTACCCATCCACACATCAATATGGGCTGAACTATACAAATCTACTAGCCGGGACAGGGAAGAGTGACATCACTCTTGCGAGGACGGTTAAGATTATGCATTAAAAACCATGTCAAATCCTTTCTATACGAATACTAACTGTTGGTATTGTTATTTGAAGACCTGTCTCTGGTGGAGTTGCACCAATTGGGCTAGTGGTGGTGACACAGTTCTATTTCATTGGCAATGCAAGTGTGGGGAAGGGAATGGGGCTATCCCCAGGAAGGGTTCCCTTTAAACCCCTTCGCTTGTTTACAAAGCAAGAGAAGAAAAAGAGCACAAAAGCGAGAAAGAAGCAATCACAGGCGGGCAGAACAGGAGCCTGGTGTGTAAAAAAACAAATGACAAGTGTTTCTTCCAACAAAGAATAAAGGCAATTCCCAGCCAACGGGGCCCACAGAGCAGTCTTTGTCTGCAGAGACTCAGGTGCCCCCGCACCATGTGGCTTGCAGCAAGAGGCAGCAGAAGCTTCCCAAGAACTCAGCGCAGGAGGGGGTGGCCGAGCAGACAATCCAAAAAGGAGTTCAGCTAAGGGAAGAAAGTAGAGTAACCAAGACCAAGATTGCCTAAACTAATTCCATTTTCCAAGCCCCAGTTATGATTAAAGGCAGGGGTGAAATGCTCCCGGATTGGACTGGATTGCCCAATCCGGTAGCAATCTTGGCCGGTGGTTCGGCGATCCGGTAGCGAAGGCGGAGTGTAGCTCTGCCCACCCAGCCAGGGGTCATTACTTCCTGGTTGTAAACAGGAAGTAATGTGTTTTTTACCTTCTGTGCATGTGCAAAAGGTTTTGCGTGCACCTGTGACACACACACGCGCGCGAGCAAAGCAAATGCGTGCACGTGGCACGTGCACTTCCAAACCAGTAAGGAAGGTAAGTAGATTTCATCCCTGCTTAAAGGTAACTGTGAGCGATCATGGTTCAGTAACTTAGTAGAGAATCTTTTCTGCAATATGGTTTATATTATTATTCTATAACAATAGCAATATTTATTGCCTATAAAACATCAGCATCTTTCATGGCTCTGAACACTTATGTAAATGGTTTGGGATATTCCCATGCTCTTCCCCATCCTTGTACCGCCAGTGAAATGGAACCACATTACAGTTAATGCAACCCCAATGAAAACTATGCACAAGCTCTTCAGACAAGAGAAGTAATATTTTGCAGGCTTATGTTCAACATAATTTTTAATGCATGATCTTAAACACCCCACAAGAGCTGTATCAACCTTCCCTAGCTGGTTAAGGATGGCAAAAGTTGTAACTTCAGCACATCTGAAGCACGCATCTTGCTGGGGTGGGGAATATTAAACTACATCTCTGCCTGATTGAAAACCAAAGGAAAGGTGATGCAAAAGGAAGCAAGAATTGGAAACTTCTCTTCCTAGCAGAGAAGAAAGAAGCATTTGCAACACCTCAAGTTGATAGTACCGGTAAGTATCTCTCCTCCCTGTTTTCTCGAGAGGCAGGGGACACAGGCTCCATTACCTGGAAAGGGATAAAAGCCAAAGTGAGAGTTCTTTCTGCTCTCAACTCCCCGGACAATGCAAAGGGAATAAAGAAATAGCAAACAGAATGATTGGTTAATGCATGAAACACAGAATCCTGCTTAAAGATCTTTTAGTCTGGCTCTGCTATGGCGGTTCAATTCAATTCAAAATTCAATTCAAACCTTTATTGTCAGTGCACAACATATGTACAATGAGATTGGTTGAGCTCCCTCAGTGTACCCACCCAACACAAAACAACTCACAGTGAAGATAGAAAATCCCTAACCCAATAAATCATATTAACAAACACCCAGTCTTATTGCACCAGTGTGAACATGTTACACGTTGCGCCGGCCCTGCAAGTCCATCATACTATGTAGTTATGATGTTATTTCACATTCAGGAGTCTGACAACCCACGGTTTATCTCTTGTGGACTTCGTATCCCATACTGAAACAGTTTTTCATAACTATTCCAGTTGAAACTGCTTGACTTACAGTTATACAAGGAGGAAGAGACATTTCCTCTCCACCCCCCAAAAAAATTATTGGAGCAAATCTCCAATTATATGCATGATGGCTGAAGAAGACAATGAGAATGAAATTCTGTGAGCAACAGATGAAGGCAGCATGGAGGCTGTGAGGGCAGTCAGTCAATCAGGCCCGAATAATCCCTTCATTTTCCCAGCAATTGCTTTTGAGCTAGACAACGTTAAAGTAGAGAAGCACCACATTCCCGTCCAAATAGTCCTATAGGACAAAGTTCTACAGGCAGAAGAGGGTGACTTTACCTTTACTCTTTTAGATTTTCCACTGTGCCCAAAGGTAATCCTATCTGCAGATGGTGGATTATGATGATGCATTTAGAATACAGCTCAACTCAAGGGAATCTCGTTAAAAGGCTTCGCTGTGTTCCCCATCTGTCATTCTCTTTGCCCATTGGAGTCTGTCTTCTCTCTGTGATGAAAGTAATAATCATTGGTCAGCTAGAAGCTGTGGACTCAAATAAACAAAGTATATCAGGGGTTTCTTTGTATTGGACAAGGCCACCTGGCTCAGGTGGCCAAGTATGGAAATGGTAGCATTATATGATTTTAGGAAAACCTAAGGAAACAAAATACCCCAGGTGTGATCCTTTTGGAAATTACCTGTAGTGGAGACTTTGGTATGCAAAATATGTTACTTCTGCATTACAAGATGGAAGCAATCAAAGAAAGATGAAGACACATCTCAGCATTCAGCTCCAATTCATGATCCTTTCTAATTTATTTATTTAGTAAACAAATTTGTATGGTCACCCAGCAGACACAGAAGCGATTCCAGGTAGCTTACGTTAAAAATCCACAACATAAAAACTCATAAAAATTCCTTCCAACACCCCCATCCCCATGGCAGTAGCAATACAACATTAAGATATAATATTATTAACGTCCCCATCCACTGGACATTTCAACACAGATTGCTGGATGTAAATATGAATTTAGATTTCCCACATTTTATATCAGTAATGGCGAACCTATGGCACGCATGCCGGAAGTGGCACGCAGAGCTGTCACCCGTTGCTCTTCCAGGTTCCAGCACCCACTTGCGTGCTGGGCAGCTGGTTTTCATGCGCGTGGGAATATGCCGAAAACCGGAAGAGCAGCTCCCTGGCATGCATGAGAGTGCTGGGAAGCATGGTTTCTGGCATTTGCATGCATGCCGGTCACCTGGTCTTCCATTTTCTGACACGCATGTATTCGCTGGCCAGCTGGTCTTTGCGTGTGTGGGAGTGCCAGAAACCAGAAGGGCAGCTCCCTGGCATACATGAGCACACCGGAAAGCTGAGCTTCCGGTTTCCGATGTTCGCATGCACCCAGTTACCTGGTCTTCCGGTCTCTGGCGCGCATGTGTGTGCTGGCCAGCTGGTCTTTGCGTGTGTGGGAGCATCAGAAACTGGAAGGGCAGCTCCCTGACATGCATAACCGCACTAGGAAGCTGAGCTTCTGGTTTCTGGCACTTGCATGCGCACCAGCTATATGGTCTTCGTGGGCGGGAGCACTGGAAACTGGAAGAGCAGCTCCCTGGTGTGCATGTGCGTGCCAGGTCTTCATGCTGGGGAACTGCTCTTCCGGTTTCCGGTGCTCCCGCATATGCATGCCAGGGTGCTGTTCTTCCAGTTTCTGGCGCTCCCCCCTCCCCCCACGCGCATGCGCTCCCGTTTCGGCACTCAGTGCCGAAAAGGTTTGCCAACACTGTTTTATATCCAGTAGTCTACAACAACATAGGCTTTTAAAGAAAACTTCTGAAAGTGATAATGTTTTTTGCTATTTCAAAGAAGACCCATAGATAGAATTTTTAACATTACTTGCCACCTCTGAAATAAATATTCTTATTTTATTGGTTATCATGCCTAACGAAAGGTAGCCAAGCTCTTAAAAAATTGAAGAGAATTAATGAATGGTTTCTTATGCCAAACATTCTGTTCTCCCATTAAGCAACCAGAGATGCTGGGAACTCCATTAGCAGGCTGGGAGGTCAGTAGCCCCCTCATGAAGGTTTGCTTTTTTAAGATAGTCCAAGTAACTGAATTAAATTACTATTACGGTAACTTTTGGATGAAAATGTATTTCCTCTTTTTAGTTCCTTAGACTAAAAGGACTATGAATATCAACTCTTACAGCAGAGTTACATCAACTCTAAAATTCTTCCAAGGACACCTGAGAGAACATCATGTAAAGTTCTCGCGACTGGAACAAGGAAGCCTAGAATGGATATGGAGGCTGAAACATTTAGGCACTGTCTCAAATGCCAATAAAAAAAAAAAAAGACCCATCTCCTACTCAAGCACACAAATGCCAAAGGGAGCTCATTATACTCTAAGGCTACTAATAGCAATGAGGTTACTAGTGGTCGCTCTGGCTTGCTACGCCACTGTTTCTATGGCTGCAGCATCTCTAGGGTTGCCGTGTTTTTCTGGCAAGACTTGTATGTCTTTCTGATTTATGAGCAAAGGTTCGGCAAGCTTTCCATAGAAGGGTTGCAATACTTGAAATATTCAGCCCCTGACAAGGGATGAGTGCAGAGAAACCCTCTTAGAAAATCATGGGGCATCTCTACAATGAAGCTGTTGAAGTTCAATCTGATGTCTATAAAGTGAGGAATATAAAGGGCTGACTGCTGGATAAGTAAACAGAGTACCGTAATCATCCTCCCTTCAGCAAGAGATAGCACCTCCCAAAGTAAAGCTATTTTAGATTGCAGAACTCTTTGTGAATGCTATTCCTCATAAATTATCCATTTCACCATGTTGACAAGAGTTTTCTTTCAAAGAAAAAAGAATGAACACCTCTGTATCCCAGGGACAGCTATGATGCCTCATTAGTGTACAGCTAATCAAAGACAGAGGTGTGCTAATTGTTCTTAATGATCAGTTCTCCCCAAGTAAAACAAGACAGCCCAGTGGTGATTTTGTTACCTTTAAAAATCCTTTCTCCACCTGACAAAACCACATGCGCATAAGCAAACGTACTATATACGAAGATGGCTGCAGCCATATTGTAGATAAATTGATACAAATATAGGCCTTAATATATGAAAGTCTTATTCATGGGCTTTAGAAACCTCATGTTACCATTCCATCTCTTAAAAACAAATAACACTGTAGTTAAACACATGGAGAAATAACCTCCATTAGCCATTCTTGCTCTTGCTCTTGTTTAGGGGTACAGCTAGATTGAGAAATGTTAATGGAATGTGGGGGAGTAGGAATACAGATGAGAAGCCATGTTTATTGCAGACAATGACTTAGTAAAACCAACATGCAATTTCCGGGTGATAGCCCCTTTTAAAGAAAACTATCAGCCTTTAACCAATAACATTAAAATATGTCCCACACCTGCGTGGCAGAAGAAAAGTCTCTGCTCCTGCCTGCGCAGACATAACACCCCTTCCCCTTTCCTCGGGGAAACTTCGTATATCACAAACATAATCATCCAGATACATTGGTCTACGGTGGCTTCGCGTCGACTGGCGGCTCTCCTGTATTTTTGACGGGCCCTCACACATCGACTGCATTCTCGATGATTCTTTAACTACATCAGATGGCTTACAAATACTCTCTGCCCCCGCCCCTCCGAACATATCCCTCAGTTGGAGATGGGGAAAAACGAGATGAGTTCCGTGACACTGGACCCTCAATAACAAGTGTTTCATTCTGCACTGGCCTCAGCTCTTCAGATACCCTTTCACTGCGTTGTTGTCCCTCTCACTCTTCTGGATTCCCACCCCAGTTTATTTCTTCCAGCTCCCTAACAGCTGTCCCCCTCACTCGGCTCCGAAGCTAATCGATATGTCGGCACCACAGGCGCCCATCCTCGAGCTCCACTCGGTACGAACGGGAACCTGTGACATCTGTAATCAGTGCCGGCACCCATATGGGTTGACCAGTATAATTTCGGGCATATACTAGATCACCTTGCTCAAAGGTCCTGACCCTACTTTCCCAGTCTGTGAGGGTTTCTGTCGAGTAATCGGGGTGTATTCTATCTAAATTTGTTCTCAGCCGGCGATCCATAAGTAATTTGGCTGGGCTCTTTCCGGTGGCTACACAGGGAGTGATGTGTTGGTTGAACAAATACTTACCAAGTTTCTTCTGATAGTCCCCTGGACCCATTCAAGTCAAGGCCTCTTTCGTTGTTTGCACCATTCACTCCACCTGCCCGTTACTCGTGGGGTGAAATGGCGCGACCAGGGCGTGACGTATTCCTCGGTTTACTAGGAATACCTTGAATGCCGTTGCTGTAAATTGCGGCCCATTGTCCGATACCAACACATCCGGCAACCCATATGTCACAAACATTTTGTTTAATACTCTCAGAACAGCGTCCGTCATGGTTGACCTCATTATGGCTATCTCCAGCCATTTGAAATAGGCATCCACAACAATTAAGAAGGACAACGCCTTTATCGGCCCTGCAAAATCGAGATGTATTCTAGACCAGGGGCCTTTCGGTGTTTCCCAGTCCTGTGGTGGTGCTGCAGGAGTTGCTGGTCTCAATTCCTGGGATGCTTGACACTACACCACCCACTCCACAATATCTCTATCTATATTTGGCCACCACAGATAACTACGGGCCAACGCCTTCATCCTTACAATTCTGGGGGGGCCTTCGTGTAGAGTCTCTAATAATGATTTCCTTAGCCTTGAGGGTATCACTACCTGATTCCCCCACAATAGGCAACCCTTCTGCACTGAAAGTTCATATTGCCTTGCCCGGAATGGCTTAAACTCTACACTCCCTGTCTCTTTAGGCCATCCCCTCCACACCCAGTTTAACACTTGCATGATCATTCGATCTTTTCTTGACTGGGTTGCCACTTCTGCGACCGTAACAAGAACAGACGGCATGGTCTCAATCAGCAGTACTGATGCTGCTGGAGCTGGATCCTCCACTAGATTAGGTAGCAGACATCGGCTTAGGCCGTCAGCATGGCCCAATTCTATGCCGGGTCGATGTATAAGTCGATAACTATATGCTGCTAAGAACTCTGTCCAATGCGTCATTCTTGGGGACAGGACCTGCAGTGTTTGCTGGTCCCTCATGATTAGTCCCAAAAGTGGCTTATGATCTGTCACTAAATCAAATCTCCTTCCATAAACATTGTTAAGGATATTGTTGTGTTAACCAACCAGCAAAGCGTAGAGCACAGGGAAACAATGCTGGGAGCGATGAATAAAATACATACAAACTGGTTTATCAATGTTTTAGTGAAAAACAATCTCATAGTCTTTAATCAATCCAAGTCTTTGCCAGTCAAATCAGTCCAGTGATACAAAAGTCTTCTTACCATACAAAACAGCAGTAGGTAATAAATAGCAGCACATACACGCTGGTAACAGATCACGATGGTAGCATCTCCACACACGATGATAGCATCTCCACACACGATGGTAGCATATCATCAATGACTACATT